GTTCCGTGGGCTCATCTCTGTTTGATGGTTTCTTGCAGACTACCTCCGCAAAGGAGCGCCGTTCCCCCAGTCCGGCTACGACGAGCTGGACACGACGCTGCTGCCGCCCCGCGCCGACCACTACCGGATAACGCCCTCCCCCGGGGCGCCCGGGGACCGCTACGGTGAGTAGAGTTGGGGCCGCGCCCGGGTACAACAGCTTGCTTATATTTTACATGGCTAATTTTGTTGTTCATTACTCTTTGCAGATCCAATGACGAACCCTTGGATTGATGATTCCGGAGAACCCTCCCAAATGCCACATGGTCAGTAGGCGCGAGCCCTTGCGCCGTATAAACTCAGCTCTTTACATTTTTGGCGCTTTTGTGTTTTTTGTGTTTTTTGTTGTTGTTTGATGTGCCTAATGTCTTTGTTTGATGCTGTTGATGTGAACTAATCATGGCAAAGCACGCCCGCGCCCGTCTATGTTCTATCAGCTGCCTCCTAGCTTAGCCTTGTTTTGCTCCATTCATAAAAGATTTTGCATATTTTTTCAAAAAGAATCTATTTCTCTATCTGCATTTATTTACTTTAGTTTTCTGTAAAGCAAAGATTACTTACTCCGTAACTTGCAACATATAGCCTATAGCTTTGATTGTCAGTGTATATTGATTCATCCTAAACTATTCGAGCATAGAAGCTATGTCTCTAGTCTCATCACAACTACTTAACTTCGGCTTGGTTCGTGTGCGCCACACAATTTGCACCCCTTTCACGCAATTTTTTTTTTTTTTGATGACTTCCACGTGTGCACTGTGTACGGAACAGGTGATGACCCCAAGTCTGTGTACGGCTACGCGCCCTCCCCGTACGGCTCGTCGTCCACGAACACGCACGCCGGTGCGCTGATGGGGGGTTTGTACGGCACAAACGGCCAGGATAGGTACGAGGACGACCATGACCACGACCATGTCCACGGCCACGGCCATGACCTGGGCCACGACCATGACCCCCCGGGGGAGGAGGAGCTCCGGCGGCGGTTATCCCTCCACAACACGCCGGCTCCCGACACGCCCTCCCTGGATGATGACTCTCGGGGTTTGTGACACACATAGTACTCTTGGGTTCGGTGGTGGGGTGTTCCCTTTCCGTTAAATGAAAATTGTGGTGGTGGTGGTGGTGGTATTATGTCAGTTATTGCTATTATTAACAACCCACAAAGGGAGTGACGGCTCTTAAGAAAATATGACATTCTTGTCTGCAACCTGTGGATTTTCCGCGGTCGCGCACACACTAGTGGCAGTGTAGGCCTGAGTCCCGCCTGCATGTGAATGCTGGGTGATTATCACCTTTGTTGTTTCTACCAGCCGCGGTCCTCGCAGTTGGGCTGGATCAGTTGCCCGATGTAGTTGTCACTGTGATCTGTTCTAACCCTGTATTCCACATGACATCAAAACGATCCAAAAGGGTCAGCTTTGACCCAAATTTGGGTATGACTTGTGTTCATGCATGTTTCTTGTTCTCAAGGCTGTGTTTGTATGTTAGTTCATGCAACTCCAACTGCTCACCTGTCTGTTTGTTTTTATATCAGCACTAAGTAAGAAGTAAAAGAAGTTCATCATTGTAATTCTGTTTTTCTTTTTGAATTCTAGGAATGAGGTGGAGAGATCCAAATCTACCAGAAGTCATAGGATTTTTATCAAACACCAACAATGTTATCAAGGCAAATGCAGCTGCGTATCTTCAGCACCTCTGCTATATGGACGATCCAAACAAGCAGAAGACAAGGGCTCTTGGTGGCATCCCACCTCTTGTTAAATTGTTAAGTAATGAAAGTCCAGATGTGTACCGTAATGCATGTGGTGCTCTAAGGTAAGTGTCTAAATTAAATTATTCTTTACTATCACCTACATATATCTTTACCATAGTGTTTGGTTCTCATCTAATTACTGTACTCTACTCTTGCTCTTTGTTAGAAACCTTTCATATGGACGTCAAAATGATGAGAACAAGCGTGCCATTAAAGCTGCTGGTGGTATTACTGGGTTAATGGGCTTATTGCGCAAATCCCCTGATGCTGATGTGAAAGAACTGGTCACCGGAGTCCTGTGGAACTTATCTTCTTGTGAGGTATGTCACAACACACACATAGGTTATTCTGAATCAAGTACCATTCTTCTCTGTTGTGCATTGAAACTGTGATAACTTACATATCTGTCCTGCTTTAATGTAGGATTTGAAACGAGCCATAATTGATGATGGTCTCGCAATGGTGGTAACTCATATAATCCTTCCTCACTCGGGCTGGGATCCTAATGCTCCTGGGGAGACGTGTTGGTCAACAGTTTTCCGAAATGCCTCAGGAGTTTTAAGGTTTGTAAGAGATGTTTTGACACACAGTAACCATTTTCTGTCTCACTAGTGCTTAATACTCACTTCTGTTCATTTCTTCCCAGAAATGTGAGCTCAGCTGGAGAATATGCCCGACGAAAACTCAGAGAATGTGATAACTTGGTAGATGCCCTGCTATATGTTGTTCGCTCTGCAATCGACAAAGCTAATATGGGAAACAAAAGTGTTGAAAACTGTGTTTGCATACTTCGTAATTTGTCATATCGCTGTCAAGAGGTTGAAGATCCAAACTATGACAAAAATCCCCTACCTCAACAAAGTCGTCTTGGGGCTCAACCAAAAGGTAAATATTACTTCTAACATTTATTTGATATTGTCATACTTAGGATTATTAAGATTATTTAATTTTAGATTGTTGTTTAGTTTTAAATGATAAATTTTGTTAGAGTTCTCCAGTTTTTACAGTTTTGGTTTAAGAAACAATTTACAGTAAATAAGGAAAGGGTCATTAAAACAAAACAAAGAAAAAAAATACTAACAAAAAAAAACAGGGATTAATATATCTGGGACATTTAAATATACTTCCTTTGTCTTTCATGGAAATCTTTTTTGTAATCTATTTATTATGGTTATTTTTTAATCTTGTTTTCATCCCTAAATCGGTGATGTAGCTTACTCTCTATGCCAAGGTGAGATGCCATCTCTTACTCTTAGCTGTGCACTCCTTTGCCATTTATGTTTGGCTTGATATCTAGTTGAGCTTATACCGGCATCTTCCTTTGCATAGAATCATATACACACAAATATACACATGTCACCTAAATTTTAGTTGCAGGGAAAATTTACTGAAACTTTCAGTCCCTTAATTTCACAGGCCTAAAAAAAGCATAGCAAATGTGTAAAGCTAAGCTATATTGTATATTTTGTCATTTCCTGCTGTATGTAGAAGCTGCCACTATCTTGCTTCTGATGGGAACTGGAAAAAAAAGTATTGCTGCTCATACCTATTTATATTTTAATTCAGCAGATAAGAAAACTTAATGTCCTTTTAGACTGTAGCAATTCAAGCATTTTTACACATTGTTAGCATGCACTTTAGGAATATGAAAGAGGAATGGCATTATGGAAGTCAAATCTTTGTCCCAATCCAAACTAGTCCAGATCCAACAATATTGAATATTGGTGGCTAAATGCATGCTACCTCTATCTTGCTCTTTTCCAAGCAGAATGAGAATGAGCATCAAAACATTTTATGATTTAATTTTTATTTGTCAATGATTGGGTAATGCAAATGTTAGGACGTGGATTTGTGTAACTTGGCTCTCTTTTGTGTAGGTGAAAATTTGGGCTGCTTTGGTGCCAGCAAGAAAAAGAAAGATGGTACCACAGGAGGGCTTGCGGGTAATCAGAAAGAAGCAGCAAGTAGCAGTAGAAGCACCTCCAGAAATGAACCCATCAAGGGGATGGAACTCTTGTGGCAACCTGAGGTATACCTTTTATTTTTATTTTCTCAGAAGATTTACTTATCATTTAATAACTTTAACTTTTTTTTTAAAAGGTGCTTTTGTGATTAAGTTTTATTTATTACGCTTGTTTTTATTTTGTCAGGTTGTACAGGCATACCTAGCTTTACTACAGAGTTGTTCAAACCCTGAAACATTAGAGGCTGCTGCAGGAGCCATACAAAATTTAGCTGCTTGTTACTGGCAACCTAGTATCGAAATTAGAGCAGCAGTGCGGAAAGAAAAGGGTTTGCCTATCTTAGTAGAGCTCCTCCGAATGGAAGTTGATAGGGTTGTGTGTGCTGTGGCAACAGCTCTTCGGAATCTTGCCATTGACCAACGCAACAAAGAATTAATTGGTACTTATTTTATTTCTTCATCTTGGATAAACTGTGTAAGAAGCTCAGCTACTAAGTTTGCCTATTTTAATCCTTCTTTTAGGTAAATATGCCATGAGAGACTTAGTTCAAAAGCTTCCATCTGGTAATCCTCAGCATGATCAGGGGACATCAGATGATACTATAGCTGCAGTTCTAGCCACCTTAAATGAAGTCATCAAAAAGAATGCTGAGTTTTCAAGGTAAGTGTACATTTGAAAGGAGATTCACTTTTATCTGTAATACATATTGTACTGCTGATGTAATACCAAATACAAATTTTGATTATTAGGTCATTACTGGAAGCTGGAGGTGTTGAACGACTTATGAATATAACTCGTCAACGCCAAAAATACACTGCTCGAGTACTTAAGTTTGCTGGCCAGGTGTTGTTCACCATGTGGCAGCATCAAGAGTTACGAGAGGTTTACAAGAAACATGGATGGAAGGAACAAGACTTTGTGACAAAGGTACAGTATACTATTGTCTTGTCAATATCCATATTTTGCTTGTGTGTTTGTATTATTTATTGATTGGCAGCATTATTTTCACTGTTTGACTTTATGATTGTTTTATTTTACTTGTAGACGGTAGCAGCAAGGAATGCTGCCGGCCCCAACTCGCCCAATAATGCAAATAGTACTCTAAATCGCCCAATGGCCAGTCAAGGTGGAACTCGCTATGAAGATAGAACTATTCAGCGTCCTACTGCTGGCCAGAATAATTCAGCTGGTGCAGCAGGAGGAGCTGCTGCAGGAGCTGGTGGGCGCAGTCATAGTGCTGGTGCATATTCAAGGGTAAGTGTGAAATCTATTGGAAATTCCCATTCTCTAGATGAAAGAAGGCCTAAGTGTCCCTTTTTTCAGGAGGATATTCCAATGTCAGACATGGCTTATCAGGATGGTGGATCACATGCTCCTCCTGTTGGTGGTGTTCGGATATATCCCCCAGCGCCGGTATGTAATATTTTTTTCCTTTAAATCCTAGTTGTATTTCAAGTTGTGGTGGTGTGGTTGACAACTACACCTGATTGATTTGTGAAAGAAAGAAACTGGTCCACTCTACATTTTGTTGTCTTGTGAAAGTATTACCTTTGTAGAGTTTACAAGTTTACTTTTCACTCAAAGGCTGCCTGAGAGTACAGTAATGGATAAAGCACAAGACTGAGTGTATCCATGGATGTTACAATGTGTTGTTTGCATTTAATTTTAGAGACATGTAGCTAATGAAAAGAAAAATGTTTAATTCTGTACAATATTTCACAATTTGCTATGCAAGTCTAAATTTTACTTGCACAAAAAGTTCTGACATAATTTGAGCACACCCTGCTTCCTCAATTCAGAATGCTTGCTTCAGAATTTGCTTTAAAGGGGTACTTTGTAGCTCTAAGCATTGGGGAAGTGTATGTGCTAAGTAATTTAAGCTGTTGTAAGCTTTCTGTCTTGTGCAAAAGTTCTTTGCTAATTTTCTCTATGGCAAAAATGGCTTGGAACGTGCAGGCATCTTGAATAGAAAATAATTAATCCCTCAGAATTTATTACAAGTCTAGGTTGACATATCTTTAAGTTTCTCTCACCCCTTTTAAAAAAGAAGAAAAAAGAAAGAATAAGTTTCCCAAATCTTATTGCCATTGCCCAGATGGCCTTGCCATATGAGACTCTTGTATTGGTGTTTTTTTGATTTTCACCTGCTTGTGTTAAATTAAGAGATATTATATTATCCAGCATGAATGGTTTTTTGACAAGTAGATTGAGGTGTACACAACAGCCTTCAGAAAGTTAGTTATTTGAGGATCCCTTTTCTACCAAGTCCATGATAGAACAAACTCTTCATATTTTTCAGATTAGCCTTTATAAACTTGGCAATTTTCAATTTTTGTACTTATTTTGTAGTGGAATGATATCCTGTAGACCAACTCAGTTGTCATGTATTGTGGTGACCTCCAATAATTCAGTTCTATTTTGAATCTGAAAACCTCAAAGAAAAGAAATATGGACAAGGGCAAGGCCGTGGCAATTATTTTATTTGGTATGTTTCTCTTGTTTGCCAGCCCGTGCAGCACAGCTAAGGCTAACCTGTCCATGCTTGTATCTTCGGTGGGTGTATTGGTCCTTTTCTTTGTATGCATGTTGTGCTGCATGATAAAAATGCGTGGATCTTGATGTGCATGGATGATTGCATGAAATTTCAGTCATTGTGTCTGAAATTGATGTGATATTGGAAAAAAAAAACTATTCCACAAAACAAAACAAGAAAGGAACAGTTGGTGTGACCAAATTTGTGGTTTCGTACAAAATGGGATTTTCAATTATACTTCAAACCTAGAAAATCATGTTTGTGTAGCCATTTAGTCTTACTAAACCAACACCACAAGTTTAGAAATTATGAACTGCTAATCATGAGTTACCTAACCATATTGGTGCCTAGTTGTGTTATGCATCTTTTAACTAGATGTTGTGTTTATAACAAAATATTGAAAATTGCTAGACTGTGATGGCATAGTGAGCAATTGATTTATTTATTTGGCCCAGAAAAATTTGTAGGCTATCAAGTGTGAAACCATTTTGAAAACAAGATTTTTCCCATTTGTTAGAGGTAGAAGCCAAGAAAGCCTTACATCCCCCGCATTAACTTTAAAAAAAAAAGTATATTTTTTAAAGAATATTAATTAGTTAGTTATTCATAAATAATAGTAATACTAGACTGTACAATAACTTTGCATTCAAAAATATGCTTTTAGGTATGAAATAAAAGTGCATGCCATCTTGTTGGACGGCTGTAGTAAATTCTTGAAAGTTTCTGCAGAATAGACATTATTTGGTACAACTTGTATTTCATATCTCTCCTCTGTCTGAGTAAGCATTACTTTTGAATTCATGTAATGAGAGTATTAGATGGTAAGATGGTACATAGTACATAGTTGTACCATTTCTGTTTATGTATTTTGGCACAGTCTAAAAGACTTTAATTTCATAAGCAATTGAACAATCTACTATATCCTTAATTTAACTTCATTGTTTACCATATAAACTCGAAAAACTCACTATGGATTCATTTTGATTCATTTGCCGTTTTTTTATCACAACGAGTTCCTTTTCTGCCCAAATTTTGGCAGGTTGGTCAAAAAATTGGCAGGAAGTCACTCACTGTGACAGCCAAAAACTTCAAATGACTCCATAGTGGTACAGTATTTTCGTGTATATCGGGTACTCTGTTTAAGAAGAAGCTCGTCATAATTAATTTCATTTCATTCTACACAGCAGTTTGTTACTTCTTTACTACTAATTATAGCCATTAATTGTCTAATTAATGTGTGTGGCATTCTGCTCTTAATTAACATATTAATAATGTTCTGTGGAGAATTAGTACCTCGTACTCGCCTGCTGTTTAACGGCAGACACTTGACTTATGGGAGATTTCAACACCTTTAATTAATGATGCCCTTCAGCTCACTAAATACATACTAAATGTGTTCTCATTTTACAGGGTGCCAAGCCTGGAGAACCTCTCTATGCTCAGGTTAATAGAGAGAAAAAGAAGAACCGGCAGTACGAAGGTGGAGCTGCCCCAGGCCCTGGAGATGTGTGGGGTTATGAGGACCAGCCCAAAGGTGTGGCACCTTCACTAGATGGATCAGGAGCCGCGCCCGGTGGTGACTCTTGGGTGTGAGTGCTCAGCGAATGTGCTGAGAGAGAAATCACTGCCGCTCCCTTTTCCCCAATCTAATAAATCCCTTTCCCTATTTCCTAATTCAAAGTGGATGTTGGACTTACCCACCTGAAGAATCTGA